TTGCGAAGCTTTGAGCATTTTCGCGCGACGAAGCGATAGATCGTAAAATAGAGAAACAGAGAAATGCTTGTCGTCAGTGTTATTTCTTCTTTTTCTCGTTTCTCCCGTATAGGAATCTAGTCTCCGCGTCGCAAGATGGCAAACTGATTGTCTGGGACAGTTATACCACCAATAAGGTTCACGCGATCCCATTACGGTCGTCATGGGTAATGACCTGTGCGTACGCGCCCTCGGGTAGTTACGTAGCGTGCGGTGGGCTGGACAATATTTGTTCCATCTATAGCCTTAAAACTAGGGAAGGAAATGTGCGGGTGAGCAGGGAACTGCCAGGTCATACCGGCTACTTGTCCTGCTGCAGATTTTACGATGACAGCCAAATCGTCACAAGCTCCGGTGACATGTCCTGGTACGTATTGAACTTGAACATTTACATTACCGGTTACGTTTGATTGAAAATCGCGACGATGAAGAATTTTCTCACCATTTTATAAACAACTATATATTTCTTCCGAGTAAAGTGAAAGGATGGAAGAGATATACACGCAAGTATATACGTTTATTATAATATATATATATATATATATATCTCTCTCTATCTCTCTCTCTCTCGAATGCATTTTACGCGCACACGAGAGATCGGAATTCAGTCTCTGCGGATGAATAAACTAACGAAGAACAAGAATATACGGAAGTTTATAATGTAGACGTATAACCGTGCGATGAGAATATATGCGGAAGTACATGAGAAATATCTCGTCCCTTTATATTTTTTATTCCTATGGATTCCTCCCATGGAACACCCATGGAAAGTCCCGAAAGATCCCAAAGACTGAATCTCATACTAGAATTGGCTAAATTGTTCTGACCACAGTGCTCTGTGGGACATTGAGACCGGACAGCAGTGCACATCTTTCATCGGGCACACCGGCGACGTGATGTCCTTGTCCCTGGCGCCGGACACGCGTACCTTCGTGTCCGGTGCCTGCGACGCCAGCGCAAAACTGTGGGATATTCGCGAGGGGTCCTGCAAGCAGACTTTCCCGGGCCACGAGAGTGACATAAACGCTGTCACGGTAAGCTGTCATTCGCTCTCGCAAACTTATACGAAATGAAAGAGTAGAAAGAAAGAAATGAAAAGAGATCGAGATACCGCCAGCGCGACGCAGCTGTGGTCGATGTCGAGGCGTACTTAGGCGCGCCTCGCTTCTCGATGCACTCCAGACATTTAGGGGATATTATTTGTTCGTCTTGTTCCGTAGTTCTTCCCGAACGGATACGCTTTCGCGACGGGCTCGGACGATGCAACTTGCAGACTCTTCGACATTAGGGCGGACCAGGAACTTGCAATGTACAGTCACGACAATATCATTTGTGGTATCACCAGTGTAGCTTTCAGCAAGAGCGGTAGATTATTGCTGGCGGGTTACGACGACTTCAACTGCAACGTCTGGGATTCCATGAAGACGGAGCGAGCTGGTAGGTCTTGGCGGATACCTCTGCGAAAGATCTTCCGCAAGAGAGAAGAGAGATTTCGCTCGAGGCCCTTCTCTCGACGATGATCTCCTTTCGTGTTCGCCAATTTCAGTATATCACGGTTTAACATTGGCAGATGCAGAGAGAACGCTTGTTCGAACGAAAAGTTGTTCTCTTTTAGCATCTCGTGTGAAAAAAAATGAAGGAACGAACGATTGTTATAATTTTCTGTTTCCCAGGAATCCTTGCTGGGCACGACAATCGCGTGTCTTGTCTCGGGGTTACGGAAGATGGTATGGCGGTAGCGACTGGTTCTTGGGATTCTTTCCTACGCATTTGGAACTAACTTGGGGCTCACTCCAGGACGTTTCTTCAAAGAACCAACTGCAGCCATTCAGCATACAGTATAAGAATCAAGTACCACCATCTGACCACCGAACAAGTCGGCGTGCCAGCAGCTACGACGCTGACGTATAACCCGCCAGGTTCACCGGAGTTGACGCTGATCAGAAACTTTGAATATCCGATAAGCAGCAGCAGCAGCAACAGCAGCGATGGCAGCAGTAGCAACAACAATAATTACGACCAGATGAAGACCCACGATAGCGGCAGCGGCGATTTCAAGAACGTTTTGGGTTGTGGTGGTAAAAAAGACTCCCGCAGGCGCATCGTAGTCGACTTGGCCTGGCGACGCGGTAAAGTCGGCGACAAGGACCATGAATATCAACGCTTCTAGAGAGGAAGAATTGGCACGTGGGGTGGTGGTAGTCGTCGTACCATCAAGATCACCATCGTCGGCAAAAGGCCGCGCGCGCCGAGTATACATCGGCGGGCAGCGAATACGCGAGGAGGGACAAGACGCCACAAGGTGCCGAGAGCAACAACTCTCTCGCGGCATTGGGCGCGCACTTTCTTTTTCTCCTCCCCTTTCTCAAGGACACTTGGCGAACCTTCGAGGAGCACGTGCTGTTATATGACTTGTTAGTTTCTCTCCCACGGGAATATTCTCGAGTCGAGGATCGAAGTTTGAAGGACGGACGACAATCTCGCGCCGATGTTGTCGAGAGAGATTTCCACCCGAATCAAGATTCGAGCGTTCTCACTGCCGAGGAAGGCGTCCCGTTACGGCCGTACCGGCGGTTGGCTTGCGAGTATCTTCTTCCCGCGCGCACGAGGCGAAATTGTGAGCCGGACGGGACGCGTATATATATATATGTATATATATATATATTTATATATATATTTATATATATATATATATATATATATATACGCAACGTTGTTGCGTCTCGCGATCCGGAAACGAAGGCGTACGGTTACGGTAGTCCCGCATGAGATGCGTTTAAAATCACGCGACGCACACCGAACGCACACACGTGTATCGTGATAGATTCACGAGAAATTGCGTACACGAATCTGCACACGAAGAGAAAAGGCAAGAAAAGGCGAGTAAACGACGGAAGAAAGGAGTGAATCGTCCGCCATAAGGCTTGGGTCACACGCATCCGAGTCGCGCGCGCGCACATACACACACACACACACACGCCACGCGAGTTTCGCCCTCGTGCACGAGCATCGAATTGCCGAGCGGAGAAAGGAAGCGATGAGAGAAAGAGAGATGATCATTTTTCTTACCACGATAATAAGCCGACTTCGCACTTAGTGCTGCTACTACTACTATCGCTACTGCTATTACTACTACTACTACTACTACTACTACTACCATTGCTACTATTACCGCTACTATTACTACTACTACTACCACCACCACCATCCCCACCACCACTACTATTACTCTACCATCACCACCACCACCATTACTATCACTATTGTCACTGCTATTACTACTACTGCTACTACTACCACTACCACCACTACCACCACCACCACCACCACCATCATCACAACCACCACCATCACCACCACTACTATTCTACTACCACCACTACTACTACTACTACTGCTATTACTATTACTATTATTACTACTATGCTACTATTACTACTACTACTACTACTACTACTACTACTACTACTACTACTACTACTACTACTACTACTACTACTACTACGACCACCACCACCACCACCACCATCATGATCCCCTTCGATTAATTTCGTAGATGTACCGTTATTTATTTTGTATAGACCTCTTTGCCATAGGCCGCCCTGCGTCTGCGTTTTAGCGAGTGCGAGAGGATCGAGCGTGTTGTAAAAGAGCGAACGGGAATAGTGAGCGTGAGAACGAACGAGAGGCGCGGCCCATTGCCAATCAAAACGAGACACGAGACGCACGAGTAAACGCGGACGATGAATATATAGAATTGCTCCTTCGCTAAATGATTCCGAATGGTCCGCCGGGTCGATGGATTGGTCGAAAGAGATTCACAAGAAGCTTAAGGAGTGACGTATCTGAGAGAGAAAGAAAGAAAGAGAGACACAGGCAAGAAGAAAGGTAGACAAACCAGTATCGAGTTTCGTCTGCTGTTACGCTGCGAGAGTTAACAAACGTGTGTGTGACGGGCCAGCGTAAAGTGTCGAGTACGTTTAATATAATGTGTAATCGTTTAGTTCGTAGTGTCTATATCCTATAACCCCGAGTCCTCCTCCCTCTCTGTCCAATTATCCCTAATTATAGCATTATGGCGAGAAGGAGAAGAATAACATTCTCCGACTGTCGTCTCGGCGGAGTCCCGTATCTCCTCCCACTATCGATTCAGCGCCAACTAGTCCTCGTGCACGAGGCAGGCACGTGCTCTCGACGAGAGTCGTGCTAAAAGTTCCTTTGAAATAGGACCCAAAGAGTCGCGGGTTGAAGAAAAGGGCCGCGAGACTAAATCCTCTTTCTCTCCCTCGTCATTCTTTTTTTTTTCCTTTTATTTTTTCCATATATATATATATATATGCACACACGCGGGTTCTTGCGCGCGCGCGCGCGCGCACACGAACGAACGAACGAACGAACGAGAGTACAGTATCCTCCTTTCCACTTCCCGCTCATCGCGTTTTGTTTGTCACGGCCTCTTTCGTAAACTCGTATTTGTACTTTTTCGATAGCTCTTAAGCTCGTCCTATCTCTCCTCCTTTTTCCACGCTGTCTCAGCCGTTTCCCTCCCCTTCTCCATCTGTTCTGTCCTTTTTTTGTCGGAAATAGATGTTGAAACTATGTATGCATTTAAAAATAATAATATTAATGATAATGATTAATATTAATATTAATGATGATTGTAATTTATAATTATTAATATTTAATATATATAAGTACCTAAGATTGATGGTTCTTCAATATCGCAGGATTATATGGTCCAATCGCCTTCCGGCAACCACGCTCATAGCCGTTACGTTTTTTTTTTTCCCTTTTTTATTTTATTACTTCTTAATTTGTGTATTCACAAGCACGTGGGATGCGTAGTTGTTAGTCGGGCGATGTTACTTTTAGTTCGAGGGGAAGCGAATACTTCGTGTTCGATAGGAGAATCCCGCGTAAAGCCCCCTCCCCTTATTTCATTTTAATCACGCAAACTTTAAATGCGTGATTTGTACATATGAGATATTACGTATCGTAATAAATATTTCGGAGGATATATCGAGTTTCAACCGATTAAATTCAGGAGAACTACGCAAAAAAGGCGTGGGTTCCGGAAAGCGACTGTTGAGGAAAAAGAAAGTTCTCTCCCAGTGAAACAAAGTGTGTAATTTGGCTAAACGGAGCAAGCGAGCACCAATAAGATCTTCGAATACTTTCGAGAGACGTTGTATACTTTACGTCAAGTTCCGTTCCGGTAGAAAAGAAAGAAAGATGAAAAAAAAGCTCTCGAACACACTTAACATTTACAATCGGTTCTTTTTTTATATTACATATACATATATACATATATATATATATAAATATAAAAAAAAAAACTTCGACTAATCTCGCTTACGCGCGTAATGCTTCGTACTTCTTAGCTATCAATCGGGCAAAAGATCTTCCTCCGTCTCGAAAGAGGAGGTCCTTGTTCCTTCGATTCTTTGTATTATTAAGGATCCTTCCGAAGTTCGATTCAAGGCCGGACGCTATGTTATTAGGATGAAAAAGAAAAGTGTAATTAAAAAGCGACCGCTTTTTCGGTATTATCGACAAAAAAGCTCGGGACGGTGTCTGTGCGAGAGACAAGGAACGTTCTTAGAGCAGAGAATTACGAAGGAAAAGGGGGTTTAATGAGCAAACTAATGGAAACAGATCTGTGCTTTTTGCATTTCGCGATTCCGTGGCTTCCTCGAGAGGGACCTCTCTCTCTCTCTCTCTCTCTCTCTCTCTCTCTCTCTCTCTCTCTCTCTCTCCCCCCCCCCTTTTTGTACCTTTATGCCTGCAGCGATATGATTTCTTATCCTTGGTATACGAATATACAAACAAGAAGTAGTCTGTCGAGTAACGCAAAATTGACAAGTTATTAAGCCTCTTCTAGTCATAGCGCACATGGCACACGCGAAAACGAAAATGGAGAACAGTAGGGGAAACTTTGTAAACAGAAATGTTTCTTTCTTCCTTTTGTAACGATTCGCTTGTTCGCGCGCGAACAAGATTGCGGAAGCTAATTTTATCTCCTTGATTTGTTTCTTTCCTTTTCGAAAGTACAGCACCACGATGTAGGTTAGTTGCGACGCAGAAGAAAAAAAAATAACGGCGAAAACAGAACTGACGAGATCAGTCCCTTCTTTTCTTTTTTGAGCTTTCTTTAAGACTATAAAGTGAATAAAAGTGAATAAAAGTGGAAAAAAATCAAACGTGGCGTTTCCGTTATCTTTTTTACCGCTTCTTCGCTCTTTCTGTTCCTTCCCACCGTAAAACAATACACACGCCTGTTTTATTGTTTCACTATCCCGACCGTTTCGTTGTGCTTGAATTTCGTGAGTGTTTCCTTTTCACGTCGAAACACATTGCATACGAGACGACGCCCTGTCGAAGGGCGAACGATCCGAACGGGATCACTGGCGTTGGGTCCTATTTCAACTGCGAAATAATCGTCATTAAGCATACACGCGTACATGTAATTAAAAGAAAAGGGGGAAAAAGGAAAAAACGTGTGAAGGATGTGCCGGCGACATTTTCGAGATTTCGAGATCTTACGAGATGGACGACGAGAAGCTGTTAGGAATACTGCCTCTTTCAAGTTATGCACAAAAACGGAATATAATTACGATATGCAACATATATATATATATATATGCATATATATATATATATATATATATATATACATATATACGTGTATTATACATAAAATATACGTGCAAACTACTGTTGAAGTTGAAAAGAGAGAGATCGCAAGAGGGACATGGTCGTGCAACGTGGGAGACGATTAAAAATGTAAAGTGAGAAAAGTGCATCGCGGAAGATGGAACGGAGCGTAATGTCGGTGGTAACAGTAACTGGATGGGAAGTGTATATTCACTGAGTAATTAAGAAATTGAAAACCACACGTCGTCATTGTTAAATGGTAGATAGTTACAAGGAGATTTCATCACTTTTTTATATATAAAAAATATATATATGCATATACATATACATATATATATATGTATATATGTGTGTGTGTGTGTGTGTGTGTGTGTGTGTATGTATATATATATATACGTATACGTATATAAGTAATGATAATCATTATTGACGGTTAGCCTATGTCATTCGCCTATAATGTCATTTTCACTGCACAACAACGGGGGGGGAGGGGACACTCTTTTCACGAGGCACGACATTTAAAAGGCTCGATTCTCACTCTTCTCTCTTCGTTGATTCGAGCTTCTTACACATTCGATAAATCTCGCTGCGAACGAACAATGCCGAATTACTTTACTGCGAACGATCGTGAACAAATCATATATGTGCGTTTAGGTACATTAAGGTACGGGACGATCACGGGCTTTACGTTACCTCGAGCCTCGTGGATGTCCCTGTCGCGAAATATTCCTCGTCATTCTCACACGATGTTGGAAAGAATTGTTTCGGAGGTGATTACACACACAATCCGTTCCGAGTACAATATAACAAAGCAAAAAGTTCGAATATTGTCGAGTTTCGGTTTGAGTTCGATCGATGTCATGTGTTTCGAGATCTTTCTTTATCTTTTCTTTGACGATTGTATATACAAGTGATTTCCGCCGCAATGAGCCACAACGTACGTTTGAGCTGTCGACGTCGTTGCGACAATCCTTTATCCGAACTTTGGCTCGGCAAGTCTGTCGGAGTAACGTAACGCTCGAAACATTCCGTGCGAAAGTGAGAACACAGCTTGCGAGACTAATAAACCAGAAATGATTCTTTCGAGCACGGATCATCCATTATTCACTTCGGCGTTCATCCATTATTCATTTCGGCTAGATTGTCCTAACGTAGAAAGCAGAATGCGATATAGTCTGTCTATTCAGTAACCGCAATTAAGGATGCAAACTCGTACAATTAAGTATCATGGCATAAGTGTTGGCGAGAGTTCACGAGGGTCTCATCTCGCGGTGAGCCCCTTTCTTCTCGGATACTTCAAAAAGCAGAGTGACGCCACATTCGTCACGGCGGTGCGAATGATTCGCACTTATCAAAGTTAGAACAGAAGGGAGATTTCGTTGATGTGCGACTAAAGTTTGCAAAGTTTCACGATGAGTCGTCCCGAGTGGAACACATCAAGGTTTGCACGTGTATTCGGGCACGTGTTTGAAGACGTTTTCGTCAACATTCCTTAAAATCGAGAAAAAACCTCCCTTCTCTTCCGCTACTTATCGCATCGAGACGCGAAGCGGCACGCTTTTTAACATCATTCTTCGGATCGTTTGAGTATAAAGACTCACAAGGATGCGCGAAACTACAGGAATTTTCGCCTCTTGATCATCACCGACACGTCGCAGCAAGAATCTCCTGTTGCAGTTCTCAAAGTGATGTGTGCAAAATATGTGTCGGACAAGATAGACCTATTAATTACTTCATCTCGCGAGAAAGCGCGCAATGAGTGCGTAATGCAGAAGCGTAATGCAGCACTGTTCGCCTCCGAGCGACGAGCGACGCGGTGAGAAAAATTGATTCTGTCAGTTTAAGAACACACCCTGCGTGTGCAAACTATATAGCGTCATTCCCTTTGTAATATCGTGTAACTTGCAAAATATATCACAAAGATATACGCAACATATATATATATATATATATATGTATGTATGTATGTATATGTGTATATATATATATATATATATATACACACACACACACACACACACCACACGAAGTAAATTTTATATGAGATAAGACGACGAGTGTTGCCGTTGATCTCTCGCAGGACGCGGCAACGTTCGGCGCGCGGCAAAAGTTGCATCGATTTGAACATTTTCCGCGCGGCCGAAGTACTCGTCTTTTTAAGAAAAAGAAAGAAAAAGACGACAAGTCGATCGGCCATCGCGTCGCTTCTTCCTGGCGAACTGGCATACGCGCGAGTGCGCGAGGGGCGCCACACAGACTTCAATCTTACGTGCGTTTGAAGATTACGAAGTAATAAAACCGCTAAATCCGCGAGTGCGACGTTTCGACGGAAGCGTCTCGCGGTGAATCCGCGATAAGTGTCTGTGGGAAGACTGCGAGAAGAGATACATTCTTCTTTTGGTCGCGATCGCGGAGCCAACACGCGCGAACGCTCGATTATTCTCCGTAACGTACTACTAGTCACACTTCCCAAAGTGTTTTTTTTTTCTCTTTTTCTTTTTTCCACGCTGTGAATATTTTACACTGCTGCGAGTTCGCCGATATTTTCGCCACACACATATTCCATCGAGCGTCTTATATTTCATTGTGCGTACGAGTGCGAAGTACCCATTAAATATGTCCAGAGAGAGAGAGAGAGAGAGAGAGAGGGAGAGAGAGAGAGAGAGAGAGAGAGAGAGAGAGAGAGAGAGAGAGAGAAGAGAGAGAGAGAGAGAGAGAGAGAGAGAGAGAGAGAGAGAGAGAGAGCACCACGTCGAGAATACGAGCGTACGTGGTTCACGTTTGTTTTTTTGCATAGTGTTCGATAATAAATATCTTTCGATTTCGATGTCGTCTCCTAAATCGTTGTAATTATCGACAAGTTTTTTTTTTTAAACGCAAATGCGTACGCGTTATATCTAAGAGGAAGAAAGAGAGAGCTAGGGCGAGAGAGAGAGAGAGAGAGAGAGAGAGAGAGAGAGAGAGAGAGAGAAAAGGTGAGAAAGAAAAGAAGAGAAGATGGTGTGTGTGTGTGTGCAAACGAGCGACGCGAATCCTTCAGAGTGCGAGTCGCAAAGTTGAAGGAAAAAAAAGAAGAAAGAAAATTCGAGCTTTTGTTACGTCACGTGTAATACGTAGCGTAGACTCGATTTTTTCACAGCATTTTTCATCGACATATGCGAGTCTAGTAACGAGTAACCATAATACTATATAGAGAGACGGCGTTTTTATGAAAAACTTCATCACATGCACAAACAAAAAAAAAACACATGCACACACACACACACACACACACACACATACCATACGTACCAACGTTATGATTCTGGTAAGATTTCCTTTAGACGCGCCTTGAATCGTCTGACAATTTTTACACAATTTTATTGTGAACCTAGTGTTACGAGGGTATATCTCTGGTGCGTTAGATCTGCAATCATGAAGGAGAAAAACGGGAAAACCGACACAATCTCTTGTTTCAAATGCGCTTTCGACTTTCTCACGCTCCTCAAGCCCCCCCCCTCCCTCCCCCCGTACTAAACTGACATACGTGAACGTTAACCCGTTCCCGGTCTAAGATAAACGGAAAGAAGATATTTTGGCAAACTTTTAATATATCACGCGTATCAATACAAGTAATATCTTTCGACGGTTGTGTCGTAACATATCTTTCGACTGTAAACAATATTTCGTTCGCGTGATCTCGCGATCCAAAGTATCGTCGCGCAAAGTCGCGCTTTACTCTCGTTTACCTTTAGCTCCCGTAATTTTTCCTAACATTACATTACAATGTGACAATCCTAATTGTGAGATAATTGTCCAAGTACAAAGCCTACGAGGATCTGTATCCGCGGAAACGCGCTTGTTAAACCGCGCTCCTTCAAGCGCGTCGTTTCAGTTGTTGCGCGCGATAACGCAGATAAATAATAAACTCACGACGGAGCTTCGTCCAAACTGGGAACAAAAGTATGCGCGAGGGAATGGCGAGAGAAGATTTATTTTTATTGCATCTCCGAGCATAAGACTGACGTGTTTTTCGGTGTCAAAACGATGACGAAAGGATGAACTTACAGTGCCGGGAGAACCAAGCTGCGAAAGAAACGACAAAGCGAGGGCGCGATAGGTGCGACAAATTTCTGTTGCTTCTGCTTCGTGATTGCAAATTAGGCTAACCGGAATGATGTCTACTACTATGTCAAGATTGTCATTGCTTCTTTTATATGAGAAACAAAGCGAAAGAAGGAGAGGCAGGAATAAGAAGCATCCTTTTCCACTCGCCGAAGGCGCCGTTTTCGATTTTGATATCGACGAAATTGTTCGAATTTCGACCGTGAAAAGTCGGCGGTGAGACAACTCCTCCGACGACAGGCAGGATAAAGGGACAAAAGAACGGCGTACTTCTGACATTTTTTCGAAAGAGAAACTTAGCGCGTAAGATATTCTCTATAATGTAAACCAAGTATAAGGCAGATCGTAAAATGTTAAGGGCTGTAATGTATCGAATAATCATTAACTGCGACAGAAAAAGACAACCGCATCTACGATTCACGATAACAATAGCACAAAGAGATGAATCCAAAGAGACGTACGGGGTGTCGACGAGGTATCGATCGGTGGACGCGTTGAGAACCATACGCTTTCGTAAAAAAGAGATCCTTCGATTTCCAATCATCGTGAAATCTTGTTCCAATTCTCTCTTTCTCGCTAATCAATCGGTCTCGATCGACACTTGGTACGTTTTAAAGAATAATTTACAATTAGGGAGCAAACGAGTGCGAGTGAGTGAGCACGCGAGAGAGAGAGAGAGAGAGAGAGTGTGTGTGTGTGTGTGCGTGCGTGCGTGCATGCGTGCGTGCGTGCGTGCGCGCGTGCGTGCGTGCGCGCGCGCGCACGCGAAAAAACAAAGCAAGACATAAAATTTACTCACGAGCAGCTTTGATTTCTGCGTGCCTGTGCGGAAAAGCGAGGTGATACGCGCACATTTATAAACCTATTACTATAAAGGATCCCCCCTACGAAACGGGACGCGATGTAACTCGTACGTTAGTTGGTGACGAGGAAGGGGTATGCATTCGTATGTATCTACGCGCATAGATAGACATGTTTCAAATAATAAAACAAGGGACAAAAAAAAAGGATGAACGAAGGCGCAAGAGGCGATTGGACGAGAGGCCGAGCAAGTTAGACGGCAAAAAGTGGGACAATTTCGTTTACGCGATATCTCACTCTATATAAATATATTATAATATCAAGAGCTTGTTTGCCAAGTGACAAGATGGTAGCTTCTGCGGGAATAAGCTGAGGTTCGCTGGGATCCATTTGGAGACCAGATTGATAAGACACACATGTACACGGCATACAAAAAAAAAAGACACACATATATATATATATATATATAAACACACACACACACACACACACACACATGCACACATGCACACGACGGTAAAGAGATGATATATTTAAACGTGTGACAGACTATCGTTTCTTTCGCGTGCGACCGTTTATCATTGCGCATAGTTACGGATTAATTCTTATTATTGTTAATTACGGCTCATCGAATCATCGCCATCATCATTATTATGATTATGATTATTATTATTATTATTATTATCATTATTATTATATTATAATTGATGTGAGTGTGGACACAAAAATAAAGTGTACGTAGTAGAAGGTCGGTCTGTTCCAACACCTGAGTCGTCTCTCGGTTTTTGCGTGTCGATGCGTGTCCTTTTCGGCCTCGAGATCGAAACTCATTGGGATAACATGTTTATTTCAAACAAAAGAGGAAAGAAAATGTGTGCCAAACATTTTATAAACTTTTTAAACTAACGAACGTGTTACAATACATGTGCGACGAATCCTTCGATCGGGTGTGCGGCTTGTTCGAGGATAACATTCGTTTCTTCTCGTGTTACAGTTCGCCCAATCAACATACATCGAATGCGTTATCAACCGCGCGATCCTTTTCGCGCGCGAGAACGATGAAACTTTGGTTTATCTTAATTTTCCTGTGCCACTCGCATCTCTATGCTCTTTCTTACGCTTTTTATTCGGTTCTCCCTTGCATTCCGCGTTTTCCCGCGATGTACCCGACGTGGGAAACGTTTCAATCTTTGCTTCCTCGTTTGAGTCAAGTAAATTTTCATAATTAGTGCATTTTCCAGAGTCATCAACTGACACGACCGTCTCCTCGGACAGCTTTTCGAAGACAATCTAAAGGTAACGTACGAGATGACATATGTTGTAACATTTGATCAATCGTCGTCAATCATCACTTAGAGAGTCTTACAAGGGAAAACGAAAGGAATAATTTTACGGATATATATTAATATAAAAATCGACAATCGATGTAATTATATTTTTTTATGTACTAACATCTTTCCGATTGTAATTGAAAGTGTGTTGAGGATGCAATTTCCTGTCGGTCTCATTTTGTTCCAAAGTCTGCTCGGTCTCGTCAGAAATTGATAGACTTTCAGAAATCACCTCAATCAGCGGTTCGATCGGTTTCTTTCTGGAATATTCCACTTCCGGTGACGACTCTTTGCGAAGCAGCTTCTCGTGTGCTTCTCCTTGCTCGACCATTGTCAAGTCCGACTTGATCAGCAATCTTCTTTTGCTCCCTAACTCGTCTAAATGATCGCAAAATTCTTGGCAAAGCGACGCGTTCGCATTCGGCGTCGCAGATTCAGATTTACAAGCATTCTCGGACTCTCGTGAGAGATTAGCGAGTGACTGAATACCTAAAATATCAAATTGATACATTTTCCGAGAGATAAATTTTAACAAATATAAATTACATATTTTATAACATATGATTCCTTTTTTTACCGGTCTTTATATCCGTAGTTGGTGCAGTAGATACCGAATTAATCGTTCGCTTCGCCATCGATTTCTGTCTCGCAGGACTCTGTGCCGTCGTTATATCATTCGCTTCGTCTCCATATTTGTCGCGGCGACTACGCCGTTCTCCTGAATCGCCCGCGACCTTATCAAGATTACTTTTCGCAGCGAAAGCAGACGTCAGACATTCCGCGAGACTTCTCCGGCCGTACCTCCGGTCGTAACAACCCGACCTTTCGTCGCCACTCTCCGTGCCGTCTTTAATGAGAGTGCTGATGCATTTGTCGATCAACGGCGATGCTTTCCGCATGAATGTCCTCGCCTCTTGTAACGCGTGTTGTCTACATCTCTCGGAAATTTGGCTACGCGTTTTGCGCTCTTCCGACTTCCTGCCGGAATCTACTTCCTCGAGGAGGAGAGATTTCTTGGTACCGACTTGGATGTCTTCGGCCTCGCGGGTTCTTTTGCCCGTCAATCGCGAAGGTTGACTCGTTCTTTCCAAGGACAAACGATTCATCGTTCGAACGAGCAATTCCGTTTGAGACTTAGGCGAAACCTCGGCAATTTCGCCTGATGATATCTCGCGTACGCTGCTTCTATCGGGAGATTTTTCCGCCTTATCACTTTTCTTATTTCTCGTATCTTTATGAATCACGTCGTCGCGCTCTCTGTTCGAAGCAATTTCCTCGCTACACTCTACGTCTACCGAATTATCGATACTATTGTGTTTAACATCGACAACTTTGTCATCATTATTTTCCGCGGGGGCCACCTTTAAAATTTCCAGCGATCCCTGATTGCTCTCCACAATTTGCGTATCCTCTGGCAAGGACGCTGCTGTCTTGAAAGAATCGTCGTCGGATTCGTCAGTGTTTTTCTTCTCTTTCGGAGACTCGAGAGAAAAGTTAAACTTGCCTTCTAAAACCAAGTCGGTTTTCCTCCGAGTCTCCGAGTTGTCGTCCCCTTCAGCGCTACTTCTGCGACTCGCGGTTTCGCCGTCAACACTCGTTATTGCCGTCGCGTCCGTACGTTTGGAGACATCGATCGCGGACGTTTGGGGACGCGTTGTTTCCTCCAGAGTCATTAATAATTCGTTGGAAACACTTGGCTTGCGCATCTTGCAAACATTGTCGCGATTTCGCAATTCGGCGAAAAGGCTGTCGGATACCCTTTCATCGCGCGATTTCTCCTCTACTTTAGCGGACCGCTCGCACTCGAGATTATTCGCGTTTTCCACGGCATACGGGGTGGATCCCGTCGATCGCCAGGTCCGAACGTTCGGGCAAGTCTTCAGCGTCATCAAATCGTAGACGTCCTGGAAACGATCGATTTTCCGCTTCTCGTCTCCCGACGGATCGACGCGATCGAAACGTTCGTCCGTTCCGACGTCCTCGGCCCGTGACCCTTCTTTCTTCGCCTCGTCCTCCCTCGTCTTCATAATCTCTTGGACCTTCAGTCTTCTTTCCTCGGATCCACTCCACCATCGTAATTTATCTTGCCCGCTCGCGGAACCCTCGGCCTCGGTTTCTCGCTCGGTGTCGCGCTCAGTGGCTGTCAGTGAATCGGTTTCCGAGTTTGCATCCTCGGTCTTTTGGCTCCAGAATCCTTCCACCTGCCCGTTCTTGAACACTATCTTGTTTTCGTCAACAAACCTATTCATACCGTCGCAGAATTCTCTCATCTCTTGGCGGATGCTGCTCAGTTTAGAGCCGAATGAGCACTCCTTGTTTTTTCTCGGAGAGCCCTCGGCGTTATTTGCGTTCGTTGTTGCATCGTTTCTCACGTCGACGACATCGCTTGCGGATTTGCAGTCTTCTTCTGACGTAGACTTCAGGTCCGACGTGTCACACGAGACGGAACGCATGGATCTCTTTTCGTTTTTACGATCTGCGCGCAAGACAAAATTTTCTCACTTCTATCGAGATCATTACGCTGTTGTCCCACGTTATTATTTCTTTGCAATTCGACGGGCGTTAATTTCAAAAGACAATTCGCACGAGTCGCTCACCTTTCGTCTCGGTCTCGGTCTCGGTCTCGGTCTCGGTCTCGGTCTCGGTCTCGGTCTCGGTCTCGTCCTCGTCCCCGTCCCCGATCGATTTTCGTAAATACGACGTCTCCTCGTCATCTTCTTTTTGCGATAATGACCCCGATATTATTTTTTTACTATCGGCAGTCTCATCGCCAGCGATAGAACCGCCGGGTTGATCATTCGCGCTGCTGCGACCATCCAAAATTTGCCTCCCGAGCCACTTCTTCTCCGCGACGTCATCGGCGACGTGTCGCATAGACTCTGATGATATTTCTTCGACCAGCCTTCGTGATTGGTTCTTCTGTCGAACCTAACCGCAAAGAATAGATGAACAATTTTTTTTTTTTGCGACCCGACCTTAGATTAGCATTCGTTGTAAGAAGATAAGATCGAGTACCTCGACTTTCCAAGGTAACAGAAGCTCCCCGTTGTTTCCGTCGTCGGAAACTTTTCTCTCTTCCTCCGCCATTGGCCTCCTTCTGTCACTTTCCTCGCTTCCTTTTTGCCGCGTGCCTTCGTTTTCTTCGTCGTTCGCGAGCTCTCCATCAGACGACGACGACGACGACGACGATGGTGATGACGATGACGATGACGACGACGACGACGACGACGACGACAACGATAACGACGGCGAAGAAGCGTAGGAACCGAGGGAGGATCGCTCTTTGGATTTTTTCTTCCTCTCCAGGTCGAGCTTGAGCGTGTTCATCGTGGCCGGCGTGGTCGCGTTAGGGAGATCGGGGGGTTGGAGGTTTCATGTGGTGAATGATCAAATAGTCGAGCGAGATGGGTGATATTATTCGAAGCACGAATTCTGTACCAGACCTTGACGAAACTAGTTCTTACCAGTCCGCTGTTTCTCGGTGCCGCGCGCACGCTTGACTTCGTGGCGTCTTCTACGTCCTCCTCCTCCTCCTCCTTCTCCTCCTCCTCCTCCTCCTCCGCCTCCTCCTTCTTCTTCTTATCCGCCTTCTCCTTTTCGGACGTCCCGACCGGTTTGTACAGCTTCCTTTTGTTTATCAGGGCTTTCGAGGGCGGACGACAGGTAAACAAAGACCGATCGCAGAACAGGTGAAAGGAGTCAAAGGGACCAAGGGCGGCCATTTCGAGCCACCTCGTAACCGACGAACCTTTACTCACCCATCACGCTGTCGTTGATCTTCTTCTGCTCCGCTTGGACCCACCGGTTCCTCTCGGCCACCTCCTCGTCGACACCGCCGCGCATCCTGAACCGAGAGATATTTTCAGAACAACGATGTACTCTTTTGCGCGCTCGATCGCGCAATGAACCGCTTTCTCTTTCTTTCTGTTTTTTTTTTTTCTTTCTTTCTTTATACGTATATAATGTATAAGATATTTCTCTCGTTTTCTGACGAGATGCGGATTTACCAGGCCTCGGCGCAAGCACGATCACGCGGAAACACCGGTCTGTCGTCCAGGTACTGCAAATTCTTGCACTTGAGGATCATGGTCTTGCGGTACATCTTTATCTGCTTCAGCACCGGGTTGCCGGTCAACGTTACGACGCGCAACGACTTCATATCTCCCAGAATCTAAACAGCGTGACTTTTCTTCGCGTTTGCAAGCGACTCCTAGGCGTTCCTAAGAGATCGCCGCGTGTCTCGCGTCGCGGGATTGTATATTTCGTAATAATATATATACATGTGTGACAAAGCCTTTCATTTCTCGAGTTAATTAAATATGTATAGAGACTTATTATGAGACGAGCTTAATTTAGAACTGAAACGATCGGAGATAAATTATCAGGTTGAGTTTCTTATTTATGATGCTATTAATAACGTCATGCTAATGAATTTCCATTCCACCATCAAGAATATAGTAAGGTCAGATTAAGGTCAGAATCGAAAAAAATTTGCAGGGAATCGAAAATGCAATGATAACACGCACGCACACACACACACACACACACATACGATGCCAGATATAACGTTTGCTTCACTCGCGGAAGTTTGGTTTCAATGAAAACCGCATTGCTATGACGTCATCGCGTGCGTTGTTTCGGAAATATAGCTCTGGCTGGCATGCCCTTGCGAGCAGCGAGCGTAATTGCACCGCGACTTACGTCAACGACGTCGCAGGTGTCGATCCTGTTGTGAGAAATGTCCAAGATCGTGAGAGCGTGCAGCAGACGGAGATGCTCGATGTCGGCGGTCTCGTGCAGGTAGTTGTGCGACAGGTTCAGGTTGTTCAGGAACTTGAGGTTGTCTGAAAAGCAGAGGCACGTCAAGGTCAAGGTCACCTAGAATACTCGCCTCGACTCGACTCGACGAGTCACCGAGATTCTCGATCCTCCGTATCGTGTTGTGCGAAAGATTCAGGGTGTCGAGCTTCGGCAGACAGTCGAGATTCTCAATCTTTTGGATGAGGTTGTGGTGCAGGAACAGGCATTTGAGTTCCCTCTGATTATCCAAATTGGCGATCTCGCGTATGCCGTTGTTCTCCAGCCAGAGGCACTTCAAACCCGTGTACTTTTCGAGATTTTCGATGAAGGAGAAACCTGACAAAGAAAAAAACTCTTCGTCTAACGACTAACAGTCGTTGATGCGCGCGCGCGCGCGAGATCGAGTACATGCCTTTGTAATGCAGATACAGGACATCGTTCAGGTACGGAGTCTGATAGAGTTTGTGCTCCTTGCAGTGCTTCTTGATCAACTCCTCCGTCATTCTGCAATCACATTTATTCAACGTGTGCGCGCGTCTATTTTTTTTTTTTTTCGCATTTGTGTGTTTCAAAGCGCTACTTTGAATAATATTTACCTAACACCGTGATTCTTCTCGTCAAAATCGTAGACCTTCCCCTTGACGTAGGTCCTTACCGGTTCCTCGTGAAAATTCTCCGACGGAGAATCGTCCGATTCCGCTGGATCGACTTTCGTCTGCGTTGTCTCATCCGTCACTTCAGACGACAGTTTATCTTCAATTTTCTCGGCTACCTCTTTGTCGCGTTTTGATTCAGTATGGGTTTCTTCATTGACATTTTCGTCGTCGCAAGCTCGTGTTGGTTCGTGCTGCCGCGGGGTCGCTTCCTGGGCAATCTCTAAATTCACAGAGACAATTCTCTGATATTCATTCATCAGTCGCTTGTGCTTCTCAATTTCACTCGCGAGCTGCTTCTCCAACTCTTCAATTTTCAAATTTTTTGTTATCTCGGACTTTGTCAGAGGAACCTCGAGATCCTTGGGATCAACCTGAAGCTCCTCGACACTGTCGGAATCATCGTCGGCAACATCCGGAATCTCAATTTCGTACGGATCGCTGTCGGACGCGTGAGAAATCTCGTCATAATCAAGTTCGACGAGTCTCTCGATCTCGTCGAACTTCCTCGACAGTGCCTCCAGCGACTCTTTCTTTCGGTGCTCTATTCTTCTCTTCTCCTCGGCTATTTTCTCGATAGTTTCATGAATCTCGATGAGCGACTTGGGACGACCGGGACATGTAATTTCAGCCAATCTTTGCAAATTGCTCTGGATGACGTCGGGCTCCGAAGAAGCAGCGACTCGCTCGATTTTCACGTCCGGTAGTTTCACCGTGGTATCTTCGATAACCTTGTCGAAATTATTATTTCTCGTCTCATTTACTATTTCACGCTCTCCGTCACTCTTCACCTCGTCCGAAAGTCTCGGCGAATTATCTTTGACGGAAACGTCAGCTGCTTCATCAACGCTCGTCTTCGACGGATCGTCCCGGTATGGATCATCCGTCAGTATCTTCTCCGCCTCCTCGATAGTTTTCATTAAGTCCTCTTTGGCAATGTCGGTCTCGGAAACAACTCGACGATGTGACGAAAAGGTGTCTCCTTGAAACCTCTCAATCGTGTATTGGCTGCTCGATCTTTTGAGATCCACATCCGAGCTTGCTTTGTGGATCGCGCGATGTGGAGGATCCGTCGTGGATGATACGTCGGAGCAACTTTCAGCGACTCTCCTCCTAATTACATCCTGATCGTTCTTCTTCTCCTTGGTATCAGATAAGGCTTCCAGCATTCGCTCTTCAGCGTGTCGTTTGTCGTTGCTTGCTAACGGGTTACTCTCGAGTATATAATTCATTCTTTTCGCAACCGCTTTTCCTGTGACAAGCGTTTCTTCGTTGTTTCTATCGCTCGGTATATTCTTCGTATTTTCTGTACACTTGGAAAGATTGACGTCATCTCTGAGATTACTCTCACTGTCGCTGTTTATTAGACAACCGCTGGACTTTGCGATTGGATTGGCTACGTTCTCTACATCGAGTTCTTCTTCTTCTCGAAGAAGCTTGTCGGTCAGATTATTATCCACTTGCGATGTAACGTTCTCCCCGAGCTTGGTTTCTTCATCTTTGGTATCTTTTTCAATCGTACCAGTCGAGTCTGCACAGTCGTCGACAAACTGTCGCGCGGCCCTCTCATTATTATCCCCCGCGTTTATGTTACTCGAGGAAGTTGCCGAATTGGCAAATTTCATCGTGAGAGCCGCTTGCACAGACCTTTCAAATTGATCGAGAAACGCTTCCTCAGATGGTAAACCACCAAGAGGCTCTCCGCGTAAGAGATTTATCCAAGGTTTTACCGTAGTGTTCTGTACTGTAGTGTTACTGTAGTAGTCGTCATACTCTTCTTCTTCTTGAATCGTATTGTTGGGAAAAAATATAGACATATATTTGTCCGCATAATCATGGTCAAAACTGTTAAAGTCGTAACTGTCATAGTCGTAATAGTCATAGTCGATACAATTCGTCAACAAATTAAAATCAGCAGAAGGCAGGTGTTCTTCATATGAATATTTCAACGTTTGATTGCTGCTGCAGGAAACCATGTTGTTCTCATCGATGTGCTCGTTTGTCGTTTCTACAACGCCAATTTCTCGTGATTTTTCGCAGTTCTCCGTTCCAAATGGCGTTTCTGCGACGAGGACTGCTGTCGTGGTGGAGTCTGAAGTGTCAAGTCCTGCCGGATGATCTGCGACAACCTTTGCCAAGATACGGAATCGATTGATCATCAAAATCATGTACGACAAATTGCAAGGATATTTAACTTGGGAACAAAAACTTACGCGGAAAACGTTTCTAACCTTTTTTAAGCGAGTGTGAACGACAATCGTACGACGATCGTAGAGGGACGTTGTATAAATATCGCGAAAAAAGATGTTGAATAAAATAAAAATAGGAATCGTTACTTTGAGACATTAACGTGCATTAATTAAGGAGCGTTGTCGGTCGACAATTTACCTCGCATTCGGATGCAGTCGAAGTATTCTTACAGACGACAACGACAGACGCCTGACATTTATCTTCTGTCGAGGCATCGAATGACAGATCACGTGCGTTATCCAGCCTGTTATTATCAGACTCTGACGTGTCCATGGTCGAGAATAGTCCCCGCGGTTGAAACTGCCTCCAAGAACCACGAAAACGAATACAAAGTTCGAGTCGAGTCAACGTGAGTGACCACTAAAAACATGAGCGCGGTGCCATGGTCACCGACAGCCCTATGTTGTTTAATCGATAGGATCGATCGTCATCTTTTTGCCCGTTTCGAGGCGCGCGCGAGTCGCAGCTGGCGCGCGACATTCGTCTTCCAATTTATGTGGGCAGCAAAGATCTGAGGAGGTGCGAGAGGCAGAAAAGTCGCGGCGTCGCATTACTTGCTGCGCACACGGCAGAGAAGACACGGGGAGATTTTTTAACCCCCCCACCCCCCTGCCGCCCCTCTGATCGGGGCATCATTCGCGGCCCTCGCGCTTTTCTCGCGCGGTGGAAAAGGCGCGTCGCATCGACGATTTTTCATGCGACTCGGAGAAAACAGCAAGTAGTTCGGCGTGTGCGCAGATGATGGATCGGGTCGCGCGCAATGTTAGCGCGGTCGCTAGCGGGGTGTCTCGTCCCCCGATATCTATTCGTCAGGCGATCTGCGCTCGCTTTGTTTTCGTTGCGTCTGGATGCGCACATCGCGCGTCGTGAGTGTGTGTGTGTGTGTCGCTTGTTTTTCCTCTCTCGGTTTCACCTCGCATCCCGGTTTCCGTCGTCGTCGTGGACGACCACGACGACGATGATGTTGGCGCGGGAATGAATGCTATCAACATAATCCAGCGGAAAAGGCGAGCTGTGGCGATTCGCAAATGCCGCGTTTCTCGCTCTCCTTGTCGCGCGCGTGCGCGCGCGCGCGCGCGCGCGGCCTGTTCGGGGATCGCGGCAGCGGGAAATCGCGGGACGAGCGCGCGAATCCCGCGAATCGCCGCCACTGCCGCGCGCGATGGGCGCATCCATCTTTCTTTTATTTTCCCCTCAAGGCGACGCACGGTCGTCTACTTTCCAGACGCGTCTTTCTGCGCAGCATCTGCGACGGAATTCGCCGCGTGCCGCGGCGTGTTTGTCGCGCGCTAGGAAAGTCGCGATAGGAAATTCGGTGCCGCAACGTTCACCGCTTCATTTTCTTCTCCGAGCGCGAGAGAGACCGCGTCTCTCTCGCTCTCGCGCAATGTTGTTTGACCTTTGCCGAGGGGCGACAAGCGTCGGGATGTATCATCCATTCGGATCTTTCGTTTTGCCGATCGCAATTAACCGCTTGTCAAACGCGACATCGAGGTATCGTTTCCTCCGGTTTCCTCCGCGAGTATCCACGCGACGCGACGCGACGCGACGGGGCGTACGGAAGGGAGAAAAGAAGACAATTTATAATCGCGGCTTCATAGTTGGCCAACATTAATTGGGAAAGCAATGCAACCGGTTATAGATTGCAGCGGCTGTCGCCGTTGAATTAGCTCTGGTTAGCTATCCTTTTTAGGATTTTTAGGCTTTCTCGTACCTCGACGATCCGATCTCTCTAGATCTCTTGCAGTGTTATCTACAGGAAGGAGAAATCCAGGTTGGAGGTGACGATTGCGCGCTGCAAAAGGTATCGCCGTTGTTAATAACAGATTTCGCAGTGGCAAAGGAGCCCGCTGCCCATCCGATCTTGATTCTGGGAGAGAGAGAGAGACACACAGAGTTTCGCGCGCGCTCGATCGAACGTTGGACGTTTGATGACGAAAAAAGCGCGCCTCTCGATCGATCTCTAGGTCGCGCACAATCGCGCGCGCGCGCGCGATCCCTGCTTTGGCTGCACTTTCTCGATCGACCCTGTAATCGACGCGTACACAATGACGCGCGACTTACGTCACAGTGGAATGCACTTTTTCGCGGTTCGACTCGGTAGTGAAAGGTCCGATGTCCGGTTGCGCTTGCAAGGTTTTCGCACAATATTGCGTCAAGCGCGGGCTAATGAGGTAAATGAAATCATTTGATAATCGCGATGGAGCGTTCGATTGTCCTTGCTCTGATTGCAGATACGACTGAGGCGAGCAACGATATTACAACCGATCGCAGTGTTCCGGCGCCGCGGTATCGATAACGCGTCGCGTTCCTGGCCAGCACCCGGGGGGGAAAGAAAGCTCTCTTGTGTCGGGAATGTGCGCGAACGGCGGCGACGCGATGCCGGCGGTCTCGATGTGTCATACGCGAAATATTTCCCGGCGCTGTCGCTGTTGCTGACCGAGAGAGAGAGAGAGAGAGAGAGAGAGAGAGAGAGAGAGAGAGAGAGCAGGAAACACGAGAAGCTTTCGCGGAAGTTACACGTGTACTCGACGTCGCGTAATACGATCGTGCGCGCGCGCGCCTGGTTCTCATCGCGCATTGATGATGACGCGGATCGTCGTGCGAGGGATATCACATTTTTGACATATCGGCTGAAACGCGGGCGATTCTAGCGCGACGTTACAGCCGCGTCGAACTGGCGGGGCGAAAATTTACCGCGACACGCACACGTAAAGTAATACAGTATTTATATTCTGAGGATCAGGCGGCACGCTAAGCCGCGCGCGGCGCCTCGTAACGCGATCGCGCGTATCGCGCCCCGACTGATTTCTTTAAAAGGCGCATACGTTTCGGTGGACTATCGGACTTGTCTTCACAGCGGGTATCATCATCGTGACCATGACCTCGGCGACGATCAGCCCGTGGTCGATCTTCTCGGCGTGATGGCACATGGGACTCGGGGCCTGGGGAGGGGGAGGGGGAAGAGGGAGGGGAGATGCTTTAAAACTTTATCCTGTCGTTATCGTTCGCCGCAGCTCCCCTCCTTCCCTCCCTCCCTCCCTCCCTCCCTCCCTGCGCCGGCGAGATTGGGATCGAGCCGCGAGAGATCACGGATTCAAATTTAATTATGCTATATCGTCCTGTCTACGTGACTTTTTAAGGACGCGCGATACATGCACATACACAATTAGAGAGCGGCCGATCTTCGAGGATCGCCGCCCGGCCGTGCTTCGGAGAAGGAGCTTCTCCGATTTTTATCGCCCGCTAAAAATAGAACCCTCCGAGATTGCACAACGCAATCGAAGATCGAAGGTGCAGATATCAATTTTTAGTAGCAGGCGACTCCACTTTTCGCGAGACGTCTCGTGACCGTGACCTCGAGGATCGTCCGTACAGCGTGGCGAACGTACGTACGGTCGCGGACGTACATACGCGTATGTACAGGGTGTGTCTGAAACTCGCGTTGAGCTTGCAGAAGTGAATATCACGGAAAGGACGAATCAAATGAATCGGTCCCTATTGACCGAGATGCAAAAGATACTCGAGACCTCTCTCTCTCTCTCTCTCTCTCTTTCTCTCTCTCTCTCTCTCTCTCTCTCTCTCTCTCTCTCTCTCTCTCTCTCTCAAGACCGCGAGACGTCTGTGAGCCTTTTCCCTCGATGTCCCGGAACGATCTCCTTTCTCCCCCGTCAATCGACTTCACCCGATTGAAAGTCACAATTTGAAGATGTTGTAGGAGCGATTTGACGAGGGGAAAAGGATGAGAGTGTAATGAGGAGGTTTGTCAGCACGGCAGCACGTGAAATCCGCGACACCCCTTATATCAAAGGCACTGACTGAAGGCGCTCTTACACGTCTGGGATCGCGATTCGAATGCATTATGTAATTTACGCCGCGATCCTCGGCGACGAGCTCTCACCTTCGCCACCCTCGTGCCGGCTTTTGAAAAGCAAAGTAGCCGTGGGTGGCCATCTCCTTTCCCTTGGGAATGCAAGATCGCACGTCGCGGTGGTGGAGGAGGCGGAATCGTATTTGAATACGCTTTGAATCGACGATCGGCCGTGAGCCATCTCGACAGCGACGAAATTTGTCGATTTAAAGACCGCCTAGAGCGAGAAGAAGAAGAAAAAGAAGGAGGCGGAGAAGAAGAAGAAGAAGAAGAAGAAGAAAAAGAAGAAGAAGCAGAAGCAGAAGCAGAAGAAGAAGCAGAAGAAGCAGAAGAAGAAGCAGAAGAAGAAGAAGAAGAAGCAGAAGAAGAAGAAGGAGAAGAAGGAGAAGAAGGAGAAGGAGAAGAAGAAAAAGAAGAATCGTAGCCTTCCGTGGAGATTATAAAGTGTAATCGCTCGTGCCAGCTGATTACTACCAAACCGTCAACGGTAACTCGCCCTACGAGCGAGTCGTTAACGATAATAATAAGACCGCAGTCGCGTCCTGTCGCAATTGATACGACGAAACATTGGAATCGTGCGAGGTAACAAATACACGAGCTGTCGTGAGAAGAAATGTGCTCTTGGACATTCTTTATAACTTATTTTAACCTCATCTAATTCGTTCGATATTCCATCAGAGATAACTTGACACACATTCTGCCGTGGCAATGAGGACACGGCGCCAAGTTTTCGGCTCGATCACGTGACAATTCAATTCAAGATATTCCATTTCCTCGCCGAGTAACTTTTTTCGTCCGTTGATGTATTCATTGCGAAATACTTTGTAAATCGCTGAACTTGACAGTCTTCGTGACAAAAAGAAAACGTGTAAAGAGCATTACCAAGTACAATAGGAGGACAACCTATGACAAGGTACACAAAGTTCAGGCCGAGGGGAGTCGTACGTCAAAGGAAAGGCCAGGAACAACGAAAACTCGAGCAGCTGCTAAGGTGCTCGAAAATAATGCTTCGTAAGAAGCGAGCGGGAATACCTCGGCGGGATTAAATCGACATCGAAGGGACTGGACGCGCGTGCGTGCGTGCGTGCGTGCGTTAATTCTATTCGCTTCGCGCGAATAGACGGAGTTTGCAGCGGGTCGACATTGCAGACGTCGACGATGTCGTCGACATTCCATCCGCGTGACGGGAAAACGTGTTTGTACTGCGAGAAAAGCGCTCATTATCCTGGCGCGATCGCGCGTCGCGAGAAAGAAAGAGAGAGAGAGAGAGAGAGAGAGAGAGAGAGAGAGAGAGAATGAGAGAGAGAGAATGAGAGAGAGAGAATGAGAGAGAGAGAGAGAGAGAGAGAGAGAGAGAGGGAGAGAGAGAGAGTGAGAGAGAGAGAGAGAATGAGCCATCGACGAAGCCGTTCGCGATCGACGAAGAAGAGACCGCGCAGCGAGGGACAACGACGACAACGGCTCCATGTCCTGGGACCCGCACGGAGATGTAAACAACACGTGGTATCCACTTCAATTTATA